TCTTATAATCATGTAATGAGTATCTGAGCAACAGATACCTGTTTAAAGGGGTGCCTGTTTAAAGATTACATTCTTTAAATGAGATTAAGCAATTTAAGTTACTAATCCTATTAATGGAATATCTCAAATATTAACATTATAATTCTGAAAAATTAAAATTTCCAAGAATCATTGAAAATCATATTAGATAGTATCACCCTCTTGACTTTTTGTTACATGTTTGTCAGTATATGTGTGTTAGTCTGAGTTGACTAGAGACACAAATTCATAGACACTCGTATGTGTACAAGAAAGAGCTGTATATGAGTAATTGTATATTAAGAAAACATCCCAGCCCAGTCCAGATCAAGTCCATAAGTTGTCTGATATTAGCCCATATGTCCGATACCAGTCTGTAAATTCCTCTTCAGACTCACTCAATACATGCAATGATGCTGAATGCAGGAAGACCACAGGCCAGTGGGTGGAAAGTCGTGTGGTGGTGGAAGCATCTCAGCACTGGCGTAGGTCTCCATATGGCTCCTCCAGCTCCAGGGCTTTGGCTACATCAGTGTAGCTCCATGTGGCTTGTCAACAGCAATGTCTCACAGAGAGAAGGTGTGTCCTGTCTCCAGGAAGGAAGACAGGAGTTCTCAGCATCCTCAGGAGAAGACCAAGCCCACACAGAGGCATTATTAACTCTGAGCTGATGGACAGACTAGACTCCATCCCTTCACAAGTTGACAGGAGATTATGTAACTGCCACAGTATGAAACCCAGGATTGATGAACCTTTAGGGACAGCAAGTAGAATAATGGTTTCTAGTGGGTACAGTGATAATGGGGATGGGGGGTGGTTGTTGTTGGTAAAGGTGTCAAGTTAAAGAAGGAGAAAAATGCTTTGAAACTGATTGTGGCTACAATTGTACAATACTTCTTGATGAAATTGAATGATGGAATGATATATCTGTGTTAATTCCCAATAAAATGGTTTTGGGGAAAAATTATTTTTTTTAAAAAGCACTGGAAAATGCTCATTATCATGGAATCCTATGACATAATGATTTAGATATCCATGTACATATGCCTTAAAATATATTCACAGCAAAGGCATTATTAGCCTAGTCCCTTCCTCCCCTACACTCTCTTCATCTCAATAACATATTTTTGATATTAATATTTTGTAGGATACTATTTGAGAAACCCTTGTAGAATAAGACATATTACCTATTCGGTATAGAAAAAGAAACAAAATTAGGATTTTGTTAGAAATGCAAGTTAGTTGTCCTCCTTCTCAACCATGAAGCTATTCCTACTCACAAATATCTGAGACTTGGGAGTTGTCAAATCTGGGGCAGGGCGAACGCTGTATCTCTGCTTTGACAAGTCCTCCTCAAGATTTGGATGCAACTTAAGTTTGTAAGCCACTGACCTAAGCTGATGTTCAAAGTACATTTTAATATTTAAACCATCTTTTCAAATAGTCCAGGTGTGTAAAAATGGCCCAGAGGTGATAGCCAACCCCGTCCGACTTCACAGGGATAAAAATAAACTCAGGATCAGCCTAAGTTCAGAAACCCTTCCACCCTCCAACTTTCTTTAACACTTCTGACACCACTTGTCCTTCCCAAGGCACTCTACTTCGCTGTTGGTTTTGATAATTCATTGCAATAACCTCACAGGCCTCACAGAATACACTCACAATCGTGTGGCTTATTAGGAAACTTTTCAGTTTAAAAATCAGGATCAGAAATGCTCTGGATACAATTCCTCTAGGTAGCACCTTTCCTCAGTCATGCCTGCAGAGACACATCTGTCTGGCCCTAGGCCTGTCAGCCATTCAACACCTTGGCCTCCCCTCTACTCAGAAATGTTCCAAAACTCTTATAGTGATGGCCACAGGGCACGCTGCTTGATATTAAGCCTTAGCCCAAAGGCAGGGGACTGATTCTGTGGATAGACAAACCTAGCCAGGCTCATCCCATAAAGTGCCAGGAGACACCCCATGCTGCAAGCAAGCCTTCTGCCTGAGGGCACTCACCTTTACTCGCCGTGTATATCGGGTCACCTGTCGCTTTGGTTCTAGGTTCTGCAGCTGCCGCTGCTCCTCAGCGACTCCTCTCTGACCCCCTGGTGTCACAGTGTGCAGGGATACTGGGGTCCACATGACATGCTTCCGTTTGGCTCTTCTTTCTTGATAGTAGGAAGATCCCTGTCCCTGCTGCTGAGCTGGCTTATTTTAAAGCCATCCCCACATTCCATATACCCTGTTTTCATGGACTCACCCAGTTATTTGGTGGGAGACACAGAAACGATAGCTTGCCGATCCATATCAAACAATCCATCACCTCCCCATTCAGTGACGGGAAATGCCAGCCCTGGTTGCTGTAAGGAACTTATCCCTCCTTGTTCTGATGTCTGGTCAGACAGGGTTTCTTTCAATCCTTTCATGAGGTTCTTTAACAATCTTTAACTATTTGGGTGAAAACTCCATCTTCTTAGGTGAAACTCACATTACCTGATTCCCGGATTACCTGGCTACTTCTGGAACAATTAGACTTTAAGAGATTAATGCTATCACTTTTTGTTGTTGCCTCTAATTTCTCATGCAAATGACATTTCAGTAAACTTTTAATAATTGCTTTCTTTTCCAAAGGGCCATCATCAGTAGTAATCTGACCTATATTTTTTATCTTAATCTTCTTCCAAAAGACTTTTTTTTTTTTTAATTCAAGGACTGTTTGTTGGCCTTTAGGGGTGTTTTCCAGTGCAGTCTGTTGGGGCATCAAGCCCTGGCCCCAATGTCTATTTTTGGTATTCCCTGGGGACTTCGTTGCTCTGTTCCCTTGCTGTTCTGTTGCACCCGCTTAGTGTTTTGCCTCAGTGTGGGAGGATCAGATTGGGTGGAATTCCCACACTGTGTCTCCAGTGTTGTCCCCTGTAGGGATATGGGTCAGTGAGAGATGTCGTGTCTCATAGTGGGGCCGGCCATATGGTCTTCTCTGTGCTTTGGCTGATCTGAGCAGGAATATCATCCTCAAGGGTTGGTAGGCCAGGATGTGCTCCACTCTCTCTTCCTCCCCTTCATTTGATCCCGTGTGCTCTGATCAGACATGTCCCTCTCCCGGAGCTGCAGATTCAGTGCTGTCCTCTGAAATAAGTTCTTCTGGGGGGAGGGCCAAAAGACATTTTAAGAAGTCATTTTCTCATTCACCCTTAACTAACTTTCTTTGAGTGGCTCAATCTTTATCTTTTACAGTGAGAAATATTCTGATTTATTTTTATAAACAAATAAGTAAAATTTCCATTGTCTAACATTTGTGTTAGCAAACATTGTTGTGGTGCACTTGCCTTTTCTTCTGCCAAACATAGCCATGCTTTATTGATGAATCAGCCTTATTTAGACAATTGGGAGAATCTCAGTAGTAGCCTTGTTGAAAGCAGAAGAAACAAGCATTTAATGAGTCGTCTGTGTGTAGGATTTCGTATTATACTACCAACTATCTTGCTAATAGGTATTGTTGTTTCTATTGAGAGACTAACTAACTTGCCCAGGATCGTACAACTAATAAGGTGGAACAATATGGATTGATCTGGTTTTAAGAGGGCTTGCTTTTGATCCCAATCAAATAATAAAGGTGATAGGAATTATTTTTGTGCTTAAATTATTTACCTGCATCCTCAACTGCATTCCTTACAGCTGTTGTGTTTTCTCTTCTTCCCATTCCTCTGGCCACATTCCTTCTTTTTTAACTTTCTTTTTTAATATATTGGATGATAGGGTACAGAGCACATCAATTATCCATTTAGCAATTTATCTGTATTTTGTTTCATGCTACTGATTGCAATCCCCACAATATAATTTAACTGATTCCATTTACTCCCCATGTTTTCCTTTCCTAGACGCTTGAATGTTGCCCTTAAGTGAACACTAGGTTTTTATCTTGAATTGTGGAGTGTTCTAAGATCTGGGTTATTGTTTGGTGGGGGAGCCCTGGAGGCACAGTGGTTAGCAGCTGGGGCGAGGTCTGCAAGATCGAAACCTCCGGGAGTTGAGTTTTCCACTCTCTTCAACAGTTCCAGTCTTGAAAACCCACAGGCTTGTTCCACCCAGTGCTCCAGGGTCAGGATGAGTCAGCACCCACTCCACGGCAGTGGGTTGTTTGGGTTTGTTTTTGTTTTTAATTGTCTGGCTGAAAACTGAGCCGTGCGATAAGTCATTTCCCAGCCTGACGAATCACCAGGGCCGTCTCAAGAGGTCTCTGTGAGACAAATCGGTCTGGTTCTTTTCTTCTGATTTTGAATTTTGCTCCCCATTTTTCTCCCACTCTGTCCAGGACCTTCTAATACAATCTCTTTCAAAGTTCTTCTAACAGAGACTGAGTTCTTCTAAAAGACACCTGTTCTTTCTGGTCGCAGGGTCTGGAGATTGACGTTCCTATCGTCCTGACTCCATTGGACTCATTATCTCCATGTGTTGTGGGTTTCTTCACTCTTCTTCTCTCCAGAGAGGGAGAGACCAGTAGTTGTGCCTTAGATAATAATTCACAAGGCTTTTACTTTTCTGGTAAGTTGCTACTTATCAAAATAGGCTGTAGAACATTATATCTCTGTGAATTATGTTTTGCCAACTGACCTTGCAGTCCGCTCACCTTCCCTCCTCCTAATAGCTCTCTTTACTAAAATTCCATCTGATGATGAACTGTATAATCCCTCAAAGGCGAAAAATTGTGTGCCTTGGCACTGTCTGTGGTAACAGTGTCCAGGAATGACTTGTCTCTGAAGAAACCAGGTTCCTGGTAAGTAATTGGACTTTCTTTTTGATTACAGGTAAACAATGTTTCCTAGTTTTGCTGTTCTTTGTTTGCATTATTTTTGTAGAGATGCATTATCTCACTGAAGGATAAGGCGCTTATAAAAACATAATATATCACATCTGTATTTACTCTTTAATTATCTCACCCACCTAGCCTGTAAAATTGGTAATTATTTTTTCACACTTATTTACTTCACACCTACTAGGTCCTGTTACAGAAGTCAAAACTGACATATATGTTACCAGCTTTGGACCTGTTTCTGATGTTGAAATGGTAGGTATTTGGGAAATTTAACCCAAGTTTTGAGGTTTGATGAAAACATACAGAAAAGAAAGCAATTAATGTTTATTTTGTTGTCATTTCCACAAAGCTAAGGAGTCAGGAAATAGTGTAATTAAATGCAGAAGATTTCTAAAATGTAAGACCCTGTATTTATGCTTCAGCTCCAACTTGGCATGTTTTTTGGTTTGGAGTCACTCCCAATAATGAAAAGAATGTTCTTATTACTAATCCCCAAGGCACAAATGTGAGTATAGGTTTTGTTTGTTTGTTTTTGTTTTTCTTGAGAAATCTATTGAGGTAGAGGAAATGAGAGACTTTAATTAGTTTGGGTATGAAATTAAATTCTAGGACACTTGTTTTGATGCTATATATAGAGTTTTCAGTAGCTGATTCTTCTGAAGTGGACAGTCTCTTCCTTCTTCAAGGATAAGAATAGCTGTGAGGATGGCACAGGACCCAGCGATGTGTTGTTGTGTTGTACACAGGGTCATCCTGAGTAAGAAGTAACTTAACAGCACCTAACAACAACAGGAGACTTGTAGTTGAACACTTCATGTTCACCCAGTTTCATACTTCTTCTCTTTCGCTATCTCTTGCGTCTTCCATTTCTTTGATGCTCAATGAGCTTAGAATACCAACCAATAGGTCAGCATAAATTCATTCACTCAATTCTGCCTTCTTATTCTAAATACATTTAGTTTACGTGACAAATAGGCAGTTTTATTTTCTTTTGACTCTAAGCTTCTAGTGACTTAACATCCTTGGGTTTTTTGACTAAATTTAATATGAGACGTTTGTGAACAAGAACCTTTGATCTTTTATAGATTATATTTTGTCTTAAGGAAATGCCTTATATTTTATGATTAATTATGCAATAATACTTGTTGCACATTAACTCATTTTGTTATAACTCGCTACCTAATCTAAATTAAAGTACAACTGTAATTACTGGCTGTTGGCAATTTTATTAAATTATAGTAATTATTCTTGAATGACTGATATGTATGATAATTTATTTATCTGAAAAATGTAGTCGATTATGGTATCAAGATGGACATAATATGCTTTAATTGCTGAAAATCTTGCTTCTCTATTGATTTAAAATAACTTATGCCCTATTAATTTTACTTTATTTGAGGGCGTCTATTTATGACTGGAAAGGAAGGCAACGTTTAATGGCTTTTCTGTGCACATTGATGTTTTTCTGTGTTTTGAGTCTACTGCCAACTCTTTTCCCGAGGAATACACGATGGATGTCTTCTTCAGACAGACATGGATTGACAAAAGGCTCAAATACGACGGTCCCATTGAGATTTTGAGATTGAACAATATGATGGTAACAAAAGTATGGACCCCTGATACTTTCTTCAGGAATGGAAAGAAATCTGTCTCGCATAATATGACAGCTCCCAATAAGCTTTTTAGAATTATGAGAAATGGCACTATTTTATACACAATGAGGTAAACCTTTTCTTCTTTTCTTTCCATTTTCAAGGATCTATAGAACTCTTTTTGACGAAAGGCTGCACGAAAAGATAAGACTTTCAAGACTACGAGGAGGCCAGGCCAGGAATGGAACAGGAGGGGGGAGGGTAGGAAGTTATAGAGGGAGGGACGAAGGACGGGAGGAGGGGGAAAAAAGAAAAGAAAGAGAACCACATTTATGAGGTTTAAGTAGGATGTTATTACTGTTTATTTGTTGAAATGGGCTGTGTAACTACATAGAATATGCTTCTTAAAAAAAAAAAAGGAAGAAATACAGCCCCTCCAGATTCCTCACCACCTGGGACCTCAATATTGGTCTAAGTGGCTAAGAAAAGAGGGAAAATAACACTGAATTGGACTTGGCGTCTTTAGGGATTGTCTTTAGTGATAAGCAAGTTCATTTCAAATGTATGCAAAGAAAGAAAGAAGGCTAATTTTCTGCCACTGAACTCTTTCCTCATAGACTCACCATCAGCGCAGAGTGTCCAATGAAACTGGTGGATTTCCCCATGGATGGCCATGCCTGTCCTTTGAAATTTGGGAGTTGTAAGTTAAAATAAAATACTTTCAGAATTTATGACCAGTTCATACACAATGATATTTATATATGAAAGTGATTTATCATTGTCAATTAACAACTACTGTCCATGGTTTGAATGTTAGAAGATGGGTTATTGACTAATATTTTAAGATATGGAAGTGAAAACAGAGCCTTTCTCCACCAAAGTGAATCCTCTTTAAACCTATGGTATTGACGGATTCACATTACTGAATAGATTGGTGGCCAGCAATAAAATCTAGGGACCTCTAAACTCTATGTGCTAGTGCTTGCTGTAATAGAAGATTAGGATTTTTTGTGTGTTTTATGATTTTGTTTCTCTCATAAGCAGAGACATTTATAACAGACTTGAAAAAGGCCAAAGAAGGTTGAGGGCTTGCTGACATGACCTAGGTTGGTATAAATAACATGAGCAGCCTTTTAGTGTAAAAGTTCTGGAGCATGGAAATTGCAGAGTTGTGGGCAAGGCCAGATCATATAGTGCCTTAGAGAGTATGTCAGGGAGTTGTCATTTTTATTCTCATGCTATAGAAGCCAATGGGAGGTTTACAAGGGGAATGTGGCATGCTTTGATTGGCATGTTTTAGTGTCACTCCGGCCTTTACAATGGAGAGTGAATTGTAGTGAGCCTCAAGGGGGCATGGAGACAAGTGTGGGAACTGTGGTGCTGTTTAGGAAAAGGAGATGGTAACTTAGAATAGGATGATAGTAGAGGAA